GTCCTCAAGTCCTACTCTTGGGTTCCCAAGTCGCACGAGATGGGGATACCTTCTGGTCCTCAAGTGCTGCTATAGCGGCGTACTCTTGGGTACTGATGTAACACTCTACGATGTATCCTTGGATTCTGAAAGACCACTATGCAGAAGTATGCTTGGGTAGCGAAGTGCTTCGGCAAGAGTCGTCTTTTAGGTGCGTGGTCCTGTAGTTATCGACGCATTGTGTACGATATTATTGGAAGTGTTGGTACATTATTGATGACGGGATATTTGTTCGTAGGGGACCATCGGTGTCAGCGGTCTTCTGGTTGTTACGCGATTACTGAGCGGAATGTGTTAGTGCGATCTCTAAAAGTGATGAGACAGGTGGAAACGCGAAGGATGATAGTAAGGAAAGATGCGGTAGATGTTGATGGTTATTAAGAGTAGTGGGTCGGATTACAGGAACGCCCTAAAGGGCTGTCATTTTAAAATCCGGAAGTGCTTATGAGTCATCGATACTTCGTTCACAGGTTGGGTGAAGTTTTATGGTATAAAGGAGCTGGGATTCGATAATGTGCTGCCAGATGAAATACCGGTTCTATTTCGAAGGGTATCGGAGTAGCGTTGTTTATGTCCCAAATGGTAATTATACTGTCAAAATAGTTTTTGGTTGGAATTCAGTTTTGCAGAAATCTCTGAGGGCCAATCCTGGACATGTAACTAAAGCCAAAACTCGAGGAAATAATTTACAAGCCATCAATAGTCCTAGTTTCGCACTGATTTACGAATATTACTTTCTTTTGAACTCAAACAATGTTTTTTCTACTAAAACTGGTCTTTATAATTCAAAAGCAAAGTAAAATTGTCTGACAAGTATGGCAGTTGAGATAAAAGCGATTCATCGGGCATCAAGTTTTAAGTTACAAATGGTATGATATGATCAGAAAAATAATATTGAACCAGGTGTTTGAATAAACAACCTCGCTAGAACACGCGTACAAACTGTAACTATTGTCCACTGTAAAAATCATGCGTAAAAGTTTCACCCAAGTAGAACACTTTTCGAATACATCTACAGAGAAGGCTTTGAGTGTCCAGGACCTTCCTACAGGTCTCTACAAAAAAAACACTCTGTATGAAATAAAACGTTTTTAAACGAATCCAAATCGGATTTTAGAGAGTGTTCAGCTCAAAATCTGTTTTTGAGGCCTTCGAAGACTGCTTCGCGTCTTTCTTACGGTCTTACCCACTGCAAATAAAAACATTATCTTTGAAAACAGCACCTTCAGCTCTATTGAACTCTGAAGTTCTCCAACAAAAAAGTGATGGAAATTCTTCATCCACTCTGGAAGGTGACATGGAGTATGAAAGGTCCAGTTGAGCTATTATACAAAATAAACTAATGAAGAATAATCAAATGGATCATTCGTGATCCTGAGACACAAAGTGAAGATTCGCTATCATCAAACATTTGGTCCACAATGTAACACATCTTCTACACAGCACATTCCGAATGTTACATCTTGTTTTCTCTTTTTTTTGTGGAACTCACGTATGTTTTCGAAGAAAATAGTGAGTGTAAGTTTTCAGTTCGAGGTTGGCGGCTCCCTCCTCCCTCCCCCTCCCCACGCCATTACAGGCACATAGCAACTGGAAAGAGAACATTACAGACATACCCCCTATTACAGAGGCCCCCCTCCCCCGCATTACAGACCTCAGCAACCGGGCATAAAAAACTTCAACTTTATTTAACAATAAAAACAGAGTTGAACAGTATGAAGAATATCAGTTTGTCTGTCATACAATATTTCATTGTTTTCATAAATATTGGAAAAAACTAATATAAATTTGTTAAAGTTCCTAATAATGTAATGACTGATTATTTTTTAAAATTAAAATGTGCATGTAAAAAATCAACAATAAAGAGTAGTAATAGGTATTGATCTGTCATACCGATGGTATAATCGATGTGACAAACATGATTCGACCTTTGTATCAGTGTCAGACGTATACAATATGACCATTCATGAATTAATTGAGATATCTTATAGTGTGATGAGAGTGGCTTACAGATATAAACTGCATTATTCTAATAGTTGTATTGATAAAATAATCGATGATGAAAAAAAAAGTAATTTCAAATAAAAAAAATAAAAAAAATGATTATTATTGAGTGTTAGCAACAATAATAAAAAAAAAGATCGGGCGCGCTTAAACGAAAAAGAGAGTTTCAATTTTAAATGTAGAAATTAAATGATCAATTATTTTTCTTGTCAGCAATTATTTACAAAAAAACCTGTAGTCGACAAGAAAGTTTTCAGTTTATAGGTGACGTATTAAGATAACAAGACTGAAGGATATACGTGAGTTCCACATTTTAGCTCCAAAGGAGCTGTGCTAACAAGCTTTTTCTTTATAATCCTTCATCACGAATATGCTTAAAGCGTTCTGAAACTATATCCATCAAAAACTGACGGTATAATACTAGTATCCACATGCAGTAAAAACCGTTAAAAAACTTCGAATGCGTTTAGAAGTAAAGAAAAATATGAAGAAGTACCAAGAAGAATCAAGAACTATGAGTATAAACCAAAGCGAACGAGAACGAGAAAGTACCATCAAGTACAAAAGCACGTTTAATCCTTCTTGCTCTCCATAATAGGAAATCGTTTTCGTCAACCGAAGAAACGCGGACTCTGAGAAACTACACTACTTATTGATAGCTTGTACGGTTCATTTCCAAGCACCATTACCATGCGAAACACGATTCCCTTCCTCACGCAAAATCGAAGCGACTCTCTGTTTCGTCTTTTTCATTCCTGCTTATCAGTCAGCTGAAAGTGTTGAGCCAGAAAATCACATTCACACAGTCTAAAGTTATCAGAAGACATCACTCTCATTACTGCGATCACCATCAATAACCTCCTCTGTTTTGCTCTGGAAACCAACCGTCTAACCTGAGCCGCGCTGTCAAAGCAACTGTCCTCTGGTGCTATCGGTGATGCCGCAAAGTCACCACGAGCTAGACACAATTACTCAGTACAGGCTCACGACACATACCCAGTGAAAAAGTCTCGAAGAGTACCAATTGCTGGGTCACTTCCACTATCCTGTCAACATACGCCCAATGTGGTGCTCTCAGATTTCTCCAGCAGTTCTTTGCAGTAGTAATTGAGCAGCTAGCAGTTCTCCTTCGCATTTAGTAGAAATTGATCATCTTAGAGAATCGAATGGTACCGATTGAGGGCCCCAGGCTGATGCACAATAGTATTTCAGGACTCAAGGTACTCCACTATGGTAGAACTTCAAGAGTCACGAGTACCCTAATAGTAGGACTTGAGGACCAAGGGTACCCCTAATAGTAGGAATTGAGGACCCAAGGGAACCATTCCCCCCGAATACTACGACTTGAGGAGCTGAGGTTACCCCCAACAGTAGGACTTGAGGGCCCAACGGTACCCCCGAATAATGGGACTTGAGGACCCAGGGTACTCCCGAATAATAGGAATTAAGGACCCACGTGTACCCTCGAATAATCGGACTTGAGGATCCAAGGCTATGGGTTTGGTGAAGAGAGATACATACCTGACTGTTACTCCTATTCACGGGCAACTGGTAGCGTAACGGTAACTTTCCATTCATAGTTGGAAGTTCTTCATAAAAAAAAAATTGTTTGTTATTTTTTTGTTATTTATAACAAATATCAAAAAATGCGAAAACCTCGGATTTAAATCCGAGTGTTATGTGTACTTCAAAAAGTGAATAGGTATATTCACTTTGTTTTTTATCATCTAAGAGATATCTAGGCAATTTGCTTTCTGGATGCAGTTTTTGTGCATTTTGAGACCTTTTTCAGGCGATGTTTTGTTAGAAAGCTACGATTTGGTTCAAAACTAATATCAGATTCGGAATCAGCGTTAAAAACTGAGTCGATTTCTATATGTTGTGAATAATTCTAAGACAAATTGTTTTTTTTGAAAAAATCCCTGTACCCCCCCCCCCCCCCTCAGGGATGGCCTGGTCAATAATGACAATTTTTTCGATAACTCAGCCATTTCTTGACGGATCCTTCTCATCTTCGAACTCGACCGAGACATTGATGAGACTGAGCTGTGTAGAAAATTTCATCACGATCTGACTCTCCTTTCGAAAGTTATCGTGTAAACGGCCGGACGGACACCCTGACCGATTCTATAGTGTACTCATTTTTTGAGTACACAAAAAAGATATTGTTATTAATAACAATAACAATACATTCACACCTCTAATACAGGAATCTCAACCCGAACTCGAACCCGAACTCGAACCCGAACCCGAACCCAAACCCGAACCCGAACCCGAACCCGAACCCGAACCCGAACCCGAACCCGAACCCGAACCCGAACCCGAACCCGAACCCGAACCCTTACACCGAACCCTAAGACCAAACCCGAACCCGAACCCCGAACCCGAACCCTGACACCGAACCCTAAGACCGAACCCGAACCCGAACCCCGAACCGTTCGGTCCGAACTCCGAACTCGAGTTCGGGTTCGGTGCATGCCTAGGTATGGGCGAGGCTGAAGGTGTGGCTGCTACTGTTTGTTTAACATCCATCTAAACCCCATCGCACAACTACATCTCTACCCACTCACCCACACCCACACCCTACCCACGAACACACCCATACCCTCTGGGTAACCTTAGCTTTGTGGTTTCAATTTAAGTAAGAATAAGTAGGTGTGGATGTAGGTTTATGATTGACAATGTGAGCTTCGAAGTTAAATAGCGTAGGACTGGCTTTGCGTTTAGGGTGAGACATTTTGGTGAGTGTCCAAATGTCAGTGGCACGTGGTTGTCGGTCCATAGGTATCCAATAGGGTTGCTGCTCTGGCTTTGTCTGTGGGTGTGAGAGAGGGGGGTGTGATTGGATGAAAATGTGAGTTATTATGTGGTTATTGGCGTAGATATGAACGATCGATTTCGGCATTGCCTTTTATTTGAGTATATTAAGTGGGCTGCGTGATGTGGGATATAGTGGGATGGTACAAAATATGCAACGAAGAGGGTCTCCCTGAAGGTAAGTCTGCTCAACAACTTCAGGCGGTCAAATATCAACAAGAAAATTGTTTAACGTAAAAATGGGGATAATTCGGACGGCACAATGGAGTTTGCCATCGTTTGATAAAAGATTTGCGACAATGGATTCAGAAAATTTTTTGGTGTAGCATCTTTGCGTAACTCCTTCACTGATCTCCTTGATGCTATTAGCATCATGGATTCATATATATGTCATTCAGTTTAGTTCAAACGCGCAGGGGACTAATGAAATCATGTTGTGAACTGAGTTTAGCAAAAAGTGTCTCCTTAGTAAGAAGATCAAAAATGAAACGCAACGGACAAACATCTACACAATTTTACCTGTGCAAATATTGGTTGTTTATGGCACTTCTGTTAGTCAGTTGTTTTAGCCATCATTTCTATCTGGCTTTCACGGTTTTTTCTTCCTCTTCTCTTATTTAAGCAAAAAAAATGTTGCATGCTGTCGCTTTATTGCACAAAGAATAATAGAAATTTCAGCGAAAGAGAATACCATCGAGCAACACTCAAGGTTTCATCAAGTAGATGACTTAAGAAAACAGTGACGGAGCAGAGGTGAGTAGCTTTCTTCAAAACAGGCCTTGCACGACAGAAATCATTAATATGATTCGAATTCATATATGAATCTGTAGGAACACAAAAAAATAAATTTTTATGAAGCAATGGTTGAATTCATGGTAATAATGGTAGATGACGACGTTAAAGTAAGAGTGTGGATGTGGGTGTGGTGGTGGGTGGATGCGCGATGTAGATGAGAACAATACTCAAACTGACATGCACACCCACACTCATATACCAATCTCATCTTCATCTCGTAGACTAATATTTGGTTCAAGAATTCTAATCAGTCGAAGACAATCTCATCGAATATGCTAAAAGAATAAAATTTTATTTTATTTATTATTTAAATAATCAAATCTCTTATAAATGTAGATGTAATTCAATTAGTAAAATTTCAATCGCTTGATATTTTGCTTTATTTCTAATATTAAATCAACCATCTTGTAATCTTTGTGAGTTATCTTTTCCTGTAACATTTAAACTAGATGGTATTTATAATATATGCCATGGTTCCATAAATTGATTTTCAGTTATTATTAATAATGCAATTTCAACATAACAGATTGAACCAATATCATGCTCATTTATTTGCTTTTGTTTACGTTGCTCAATTTCTTGATAATTTTTTTACAACGAAGTATTGCATAACCTTTAATTTTATTTCAAAAAAGAATTAAGCAAGAAAAAAGAATTTTCTTAAGCCTTCTGGTATATCTTTAAATGTAAGGGTGTGAGTGTAGGTGGGTGTGAGTGCGGGTGTGAATGCAGCTGTGGATGCAGGTGTGAGTGAGTGTGGGTGGGATGTGGGTGTAAGTGAATAGAATACTCTGCCCATACCCTAAGATCTCTAGATAAGTTACAATCTTTGATTCTCAATGATTGTAAATAATAAATTAAACATAGGATAGTTACATTAAATTGTTCTTCTTTTTGATTGTTGAGATTTGTCAATTAAATTACTTTTCTAAAAGTATTTTAATAGTCGACTTTCATATAAATAATTTTCTAAATCTTTTATCCATCTCTCATAATGAGATTCTAAATTAAAATCACTTGTATGACGTCAAATTGCTTGTTCAAGTTCCTATTCACTGCTCGAATAAATTGTTTCTATGGTATACAATAGATTTAATTGCTCATTTAATAACATCTTTTTGTCAATCACATATTTTGTGTATATCGATATTACAAAATGTTATTTTCTCTCGTTGTTGTTATGTTTCTTCATCAATTTTATCACAATTTGATTCTTTTGATCTATTGATTTGTGTTGATATTTTGCCAATTGAATATTCAATTTTAAAATAGGACTGCTCATTTATTAAATGTCTTCGATAAATGTTAATAATATCCGTCTTGTATAAATGTTCCATCGTGATAAGAGCATGATCTAACATTGTTGTTTCTTCTTCTGGTAGCCAAATATTTACAGTTTGTATATTGTCATGGATAGCGATAGGAAAAAGAAGAAGACGATTCAACTAATAAGAATTCTTATCGGTTTCTCGCTTAATAAAGAATGCATGTATCTGTCTATATAAGAACAAGAGTTTAAATTTTAAAGAAAGTTAAGACTATTGAAAAGATTCTTGTCGTTGTTAGATATTTTAAAGAGATACTAATTGTTCTTAATATTGTATGTTTACGGTCCCAGTATCTGGCTGTATCTACAAAAAATAGACTCTATTTTCTGT